ACCTTGTCACGTTGTCCCCTCTTATATATACCCCGCCTACCCTATATCTAGTAAGAACTAGAACATTCGCCAAAGTACAGGATAATTCAAGAAAGGAGAGAGCGTGAGAATCACATGATCTCGATGACGCAACAGGTACTTATTTACTGCATTTCCTTCCACCAGCATGTAGACTCTGTTGACAAGAACTGAAATTGGTAAAATGTTAGTGATACCCAGCCATGATCAAAAGAATTGTGACTTGTGAGCTGCAGACTTAGCAAGAATTATGAAGGTTACATATCCTTCAGTACTTGCAATTGGTCAAAGTTAGTTAATGATATCCTACACTGGTCAAAAATTGGGATCTGCATGTATTGATTAAAATTTATAGAGACCCAAGCATTAATTAAGTGTTTGTAGTGGAGTAAAAATTACATAGACCCAAAAATACTTTTTCATGCTAGACATTCTGTAGAATTTAACTTATTGCTTACAAAAAAAATAATGTATCCAACAAAGAACACAGTGTTCATAGTAAGATATGTCATTCAAAAATCTTTTTCAAATTCTTACATGGGCCTGGCATGGCCTATTGGTTGGGGCGCTCGACTCATAATCTGCATGTTCGAATCTCCATCACTGAACATGCTCTCCCTTTCAGTCATGGGGACATTATAATGTGACAGTCAATCTACTATGCATTGGTGAAAGAGTAGACCAAGAGTTGGTTGTGGGTGGTGTTGACTAGCTGCATTCCCTCTAGTCTATTACTGCTAAATTAGGAACAGCTAGGGCATATAGCTTTTGTGTAGCTTTGCATGAAATTCAAAACAAACCAAATCAAATTTTCATTGATTTGCCTAAACTTTCTCACAGAATCAGAATATCTTAAATTAATATAAATGGATGATTTTTTTTTACAATTCTTCTGTATATTGTCATCAGTGATTGACGAAAGCCAGATGTTCTAATATAAACCTTCCTACCTATTTCTTATGCGGTTAGCTAACCAAAATTCATCCAAGATTCTAATTTGCTTTTGAATTCTCATAAGCCCTGGAAATCAGAGTAAACACACTTACTTGCAATGTTCAACTCGCACTGTTTGCGGGAATTTGTCAGTGTTGACGACTGCCAACCAGTGGCCTTTCCAGTTCCTTGCCCAACCTGGTCTGAGATAGGTAGTTTCTGATGGACAAACAAAATGACCATGTTTATGGTATGAATAGGTGTGGTTATCGAAATAAGCAAAGTCTGATGGAGAAAAGTGGGTGTTCAGGGTAGAATACATCTCATAGATATCTTTGTAGAACCGGTCAATTATTGCGTCTACTTCGTCACTGTAGAAAGTAAATTGATATTTTAAAACTAAACATTTTAATTGCGATAAATACTAACACGTGTTCTTTGTTATCTTAAATCATGGTCTACTTATGTGAAAGGCAAATAGAAATATTAATATTTTACAATAACTCGTGTAAAAAAATATATATTATTTTGTGTGACTAGACGAATCAACAATTATTGGTATTATATTATTGAGTTAAATATATGTATGCAAAGGTATATATTATATATTAACGTCCTTTGAACATTATCATATATATATATTTCTCATATATCAAAAATTCAAATTATAGTTTTCAGCATTAAAGTACATAAGATATTTTATATTGTTGGACGCTGCAAACTGGTACTAACATACGAACAGAAATTCGACTCTTTAAGAAAAGTAAAATTTTAAATCTATCCTTTATTTTCACAGGAAATCATCTTGAAATCCCGTAAAGTGTTGGCCGCCACTATTGCTAACGGCAACTCATTCCGTAAGTCAGTCAGTCACCCTGTTAGCAAAATAATAGTCTTAGCTGGAGCCTAGTCTGAATTTTGAAATCTTAAACTGGTGTTCTTTCGTCCTGTTATCTTTAGAATACGGCACACAGAAAGATATTTTATATGTTGTGATAAATACAATATACACTTTAGGGGGGGGGGGAATTAGGCACGTCACTGTGGTACTACACTGGTATGTAAGACGAGAAGTGTACTTTTACATTACCAATTACTGTAAAATTACAGATTAGTGTAGAGAAGAAAACTGCATTTTTACATAGTACTCTTTGCTATGGATATTAGCAGGTTTTATTAAAGTTTCACTATCATAAATATTCGTATTTGACACCAGTCAGTAGTAAATCGCAGAAAAATGATTTTAGCGTTTTGGTACATTTCACCTTTACCATGAAAAAATGACATCCTGTAGTTGTTACTTAAAAAATGAAAATATAAAAATAAGTATTTCAATTTTCTATGTATTTTAATACCACTTGTTGCATGAGGCAAAACACATTGGCATAGTGGGACCAGCAAATTGTATCAAGCAGAAAATTTTCAATTTCAAAAAAAAAAAACTTGAAAAAGTATAAATTTCAACCAACCCTTCATTTTTCAGGAAATCATAGATTCAATTCTTACACTCCTAATCTATGTGAGTGTTACTTAGAAGATAACTAAGTTCCCAGTGTTCAGACGCTCCAGTATACCTGAATCTCAAGCACTGACATGCTTAGCGCTTTAAATATTTTTGTGACTGGATCATTATTTCTGAAATTTGTCTTTAGGTGCAAGTATACATGGATGGTTTCCATTTGTAGGTCCTTCAAAACGGCCCTCTACTTACAGGCTCATAAAATGATTCCACTCCTGTAGTTAATTTACAAGTAGAGGACAGTTTAAAATCCTTGCAAAAATCTGTTGATATATAGAGTTAAACAGGAATTGAATGAACAAAACAATGCAGTTCGTTTATTATTAAATTTCTTATTGTTAACTATTTGGTAATTATATGCATTTAGTTTCAAAGTTTTGTGGTGGTGAGCAATTTCGCACGTCAAAATTGGGATCGTACTATCATTGATGCCAAAAAGCTGGTATGGGCACAGATGTCGACAATGTGTGTGGGAAGAAAACATCATCCAAGAGCTCTGTTGTTGTTGCCGGTAATTATGTAGCATAATAACGAAAAGGGATAATTTTGTCACAGTGAAAAAAGTGACTGCGGCTTTCCAGTAAACGAAAAAAACAGCAACAACTGATTTCTCAGTATTTAGACAGTTGAGTGTATCAGAAGCTGAAGTTATGACATGCTTATAGCTGGCAATTTGAAAATAATATTTTTGTGTCTGTTTGGATCGTTAATTCTGAAATGTGTTTTCAAGTGCGAGACAAATAGACATTGGGTGGTTACGATTTTCATTGGAAACAAGAAAAGCCTTGAAATATATGTGCATCTTTCGTTCAAGACACAACTGTGGGTGATTGAGAAGCTAGACTGTGAATGATTCATTAATCTGGGTTACTGTCAATGGTGGTGATGAATATTAAAAAGGTGTTTCAATCAATTGTTCCTCTTCAGGCCCAATAGCGTAGGCTACATATATTGGGTTGTTCGATTTTGTTAGTAGCTAATAAAATAAACTCTCTATCATTCAAAATACTTAAAAGCCAATACCAAACAATTTACTTGTTAAAAACGACAAACTTACTTTTGTCAAATATTCTATAACTATCGGTTTTGACTTTTAAGTGAATATGGAATATTTCTGTTTTACCATCTCTGTGAGTGAATTTGGAGGAAGCAAATTAAGATTATCGAAACGGAACGATATCATGAGCTGACTTCGTAAAAAAAAAAAAAGAGTAAAATACATGAGAGGCCTGTAGTCTCTCCCCCATCATAATTTTCAATTTCAGAAGTGTGTAAGTGTTGATTTTCAATGCTTCGCCGGCTTGCAACATTCAAATCCATCTTACAGTACTAATTTAAACAGTGTGTAAGTTAGTTACGATTATACAAACTGGACTTATATAGAGTACAAGTTCACTATTATGATACTAAATTCGAGCTGTAACAAGAAATAATGTAGCTTTAATTACAAACACATATAGTTTACTTACATAGGATAATCATGATTGTACAAACAGAAGGTTCTATCCCCTGCACAAGTTGGCGCATCGTGTGGAACTATTCTTGGATGTGAGCGAGTGCCAGCAACTGTTATAGATTTGGAAAAACTTCGGTCATGATAGACTGGAACGTCATGCGACTCGCCCTTAGCATAGTGACTGGGAGATAAAAATGGTGTATGGTCTTTTCTGTATAAAATGACCAAACCGGGGTTATTCGGCGTTGCATGAGATGGAAAATGACGGTAGGTTTGTCCACTAGATGCCAACGGCTGGTGACATGCCAGTAGCACCAACAGAAACTATACAGAACAGTTTTGATATTAATATTTAAATCATCGTGTAAATAAAACACTTAGATATGCAATACCGAAAAGTGGTGAAAATATTGAGTTAATCATTATTAGGCAATGTGTCATAACTTAGGGACAAGTTTACTAGTTTTATACGATAAAAATTGTTCATCATCGGAAAATAAATATCTGAAAACAGAATCGTAAAATGCAGGGTTAGATTTATTTTCTCATTCTTTATAATTTGTTCTTTTCGAATTTTAAATCAGAAATGTATAACAGTAAGCCTGTGAGTTTTCAGTACTTCGTCATCTTTCGGCATTTAAGTACACGTAAATAAAGTTCTGATGCTGCAAATGTACTAGTAAGAGTTTTAAGCAAAAATTTTGCTCATCTCCCAGTCCAGATGGTTAGCATTCAAAACGAAAACCTCCTTGACAGATGCTCGTGGTAGACAAAAATCTTAAATTCTATTTTTATGCACATCTAAGTTGAAATCCATAATGGTTAAATTAAAAGGGATGTGAAGGGAGAGTGAGAAAAATATAGAACAAGAATTTGCAGTCCTCTGTGATTTTTATCACGAATATTTGGTTATTGATTTTAATTTAAGTACTCGACGAAATAACTTTTGTTTACAAAGGCGTTTCAGTTAATTCTCCTTTCGCAGGATCAAAGGCCTAGGACCTAGGTTATGTCAGTAACTAATGAACGAAGCTTTCGATAATTCAAAAGAGTTATCACCAAACAACAGTTAAAAACAAGAAACTTACCATTATCAAATTAGTCATGACAACTGGTTTGATGTGGGTGACGTAATGTATACGAAGTATTTCTGTTTTGCTATCCCTGACTTTGAGTTGGGGAAGAAAGTAAGATTACGGAAACTAAATAAACTACTTATGTCGAGAGCTTTATAAATATTATTTTAGTTGACGGTGTTCACGTGATCAAAGGTTAAAATCCTCTCATTATATATATATATGTTATAACGTCATTAGTATGAGCTTCGCTATAATAACCCTGAATAACACTAGTAATTTTAACTGCTAGTTAATTGGTGGCACGAAAAAGAGAAAAGGTGTACAGACGCAAATCGAGGTCAAGGAATATATTCAGCATCGTACTTGTGTTTGATGTACCTGAGACAAACGTTTACTTGCCCGGCAAAGAAGAAACTCACGGACCTCATCACCGCTCATTGAAAAATGAAGGAAACTATTAACATGTATTGTTTTAGCAAGCAGTTAGTTCTTAGAAGGTCGATATTCATGATAAGAGTTTTATATTACACATTTGATATATTATCTTATTAACAATTGTCCTTTTCCATTTTTACTGTGTGTGTGTGTGTGTGTGTGGAATTTTGAAACATTCCGCAGCTGTGTCAATTAGGAAGTGTACTTCTTTGAAAAAGTGTATGTGGTTGGTTTTGTGCCAAGTCTCCTTGAGCAGCCAAGCAGTAAGCAAGCATGTGTGTGGTAAAAGAGAAATAAATAATAGAATTTCTTACATATATTTACACATGAATTGTCCCAAATAAGAAGGATCTAAGCTCAACATTTACCCTCTTTATTTACTTCAAGCTTTAACGACGAAGCAACACTTACTTAGACATATTTCGGCCCCCTGTTTTAAACAGTAAAAACCGAAAGCAAGCTTTCATTACTTTTTATACATCTTGAAATGGCTTTCAAAATATAGATCTCTTGATGGTTTGAATCTTTCGGTTCAAGAGACATGGATTTGTACACAATTTATTGAATTTCTCGAAACTAAACAATTGTATTTATTTCTGTCTCTAATATATAACCCAGAAAAGGCACTTTGCCCAAAATATTATTTTCAATGTAATTTATAAGTGGCGGAGTCGTATCACCCAGCATCAACCATCATCCTCTAAAAGTAGAATCTATATAAATATAACAGTACTGTCTGTTGTATGTCCATGTAACTACTTCGCAGGGTGTGAATGGATCTGCACCAGAATTGGCTCATTGGGTCCATGTGGGGCTACATACAAATTTTCAGGTTTGTGGTTTTTATTGGCGTATTTGTCTTTTTTTTTTTACCACAAATGCGCCCCCTGTAGATGGGTCTTTGCCAAATTTGATATGAAAGCTCGTTGGGTCAATGGAGAGATACATACAAATTTTCAATTTTGCTATTTTTATTGGCGTTTTTTACAACTTCTTCACCTCCTTTGGATAGATATTCACCAAATTTGGTATGGAGGCTCATTGAGTCCATGAGGATATACATAAAAAATTTCAGTTTTGCGTCTTGCGGTTTTTATGGGCGTTTTTGCGTTTTTTACCACTACCTCACCTCATGTTGATGGATCTTCACCAAATTTGTTATAAAGGTTTGTTGGGTCCATGCGGTGATACTTCCAGCTTTGCGGTTTCACATTTTATGTTTTGCTGTGTTTTTATGGACGTTTTTGCGTTTTTCACAATTACATATAAGGAACACAACTTTTAATGTTCTAAGATAACCTTTCATGAGTTTATATAATTTCCACCCAGGGGACGGATACTCCAGCTAGTCTAAAATATTTTGAAAGACAACAAAAATAATTTGAAATAGTAAAATTGAGTTTTAATAACACAATTTTACTACTTCGGATTAAAATTGAGTTTTAATAACACAAAGTATTGTTTTAATAAAGACTAAAGAATGCAGTGTTATTATGGTTTTATCCCATTTTCCAACTGGTAAATTATAGTCTTAATTCTATTTTTTTTGACCAGCTATGGAGAGTATACACCATTTAATTCGAAATAAAAGCAGTAAGTGAAAGAAGCCAAAGTAGAATATATTTTAATATATTAAAGACAACATTACGACTATAAAAGTAAATAAAACAAAAATAATATTTGAATGTAGTTACAAAGATTTCATTCGAGTATAAGGTTAACACTACATTTTTTTCTGTTTCTATATTTTTGGAATATAATCAGAAATATAATGAAAGAGGTTCGCGCCAAAATATACATTGTAAGCTATACCTGAAGCCTCTTTCCCGGAGGCTAAACAATAAATTTGAAGGTTTACAGCGCTAAAAATCGGGTTTCGATATCCGCAATGAACACAGCACAATTATTCCATAGTTTAGCTTTATGCTTAAATAACAAAAGCTATACTTGATATAAAGTATTGTTGCATCAGCTGAGGTCACGTGACTAGTATCACGGCACGTCATGCACTTCTCGAATGTTCACGTCCCTTCCTGACTTCTCGAGAGCTTACTAGATTCTGTATTCTTGTATATATAAGACCGGCCACGAAGCGACGGGGAGGTAATGAGTAATTGAATGTATGCGGACAGAATATTGTTGGTCACGTGAGACGTGAGTTATAGCG